AAGTTCAAGTTCAAGTTCAGTTCAATTTTGAACTGAACTTGAACTTGGCCAAAAGTTCAGTTCAGTTCATAGGAACATTACTATGAGCTAATAAAATTTAAAGATCATTCTAAAAACAATCTAAAATATAATTTATTATACAAAATGTGATCTATTGAATTTGAAAATATCCCTGACTATATTATTATTTTAAATTTACAATACTATCAATATAAATATTAAAGCCAATATTGACTCCAATATTGAAACCAATATTAACTTCAATATTAATTTCAATATTAATTCCAATATTGAAATCAATATTGAAGCCAATATTGAAATCAACATTGAATCCAACATTAGAGCTAATTAAAAACAATATTAAAGCTAATATTAAAGCTAATATAGAAGCCAATATTGAATCTAATATTGAAACCAACTTTGAAACCAATATTAAAACCAATATTGAAACTAATGTTAAAACTAATATCAAAACCAACATTAACTTCAATGTTGTCTAATGTTAACTCTAACATTAACTTTAATATTAAAACAAATATTGACCTCAATATTAAAATCAATATTAACCTCAATATTGAAGTTAGTATTAAAGTCAATATTAGCCTCAGCATTGAAAAAACAATAAAAGAAGCATTAAAAAATAATAAAAAAATACTGAAAAAACAACAAAAAAACTGAAAAAATAACAAAAAAAGCTGATAAATGACAAAAGCAAAACAAAAAATAACAAAAAACATACTGAAAAAAACAATGAAAAAATAATAAAAGAAATATTAAAAAAAGCAACAAAAGAAGTATTAAAAAGAAACAAAAAAAACAAAAAAAAAAAAGAAAAAAGAAAAAAAAAAAAAAAAAAACATAAAAAAAAAAACAAAAAAAAACACAAAAAAAGCAACAAAATAAACACCAAAAAAGGAACAAAAGAAGCATCAAAAAAGGAACAAAAGAAGCACCAAAAAAGTAACAAAAGAAACACCAAAAAAGTACCAAAAAAGCACCAAAAAAAGCACCAAAAAAGCAACAAAAGAAGCAAAAAGCAACAAAAGAAGCAATGAAAGAAGCACCGAAAAAATGATGAAAAAATTAATTTTAGTATCTAAATAAACAAAAAAATAAACAAAAAATCCGGTTTTATTTAGAAACGGAGCTTGGAGTCAGATCGGAATGATCTGCAGCCCGGGATTTTCTTGACATAAGGGTACCCAATTGACGATCACGCCATTCGTGTCGAGCAAAGAGTATTACATATTAGCAAAGAAAATAATGAAGTTTATGCAAAGGAAAATTTTTAACAAAATTTTCGCAACAATAGATAGTCCGTATATCCTCCAAAATTTGTAACGTTTTTTTAAATCCAGGTTAATGGGATTGAATATTTAGATAAATTAGTAAGAGAAAAAGGGTGTTTATTCACAATACAATTATAATATGTTAAATTTTATGTTTTCTGTGTAATAGTATTCAACCGTTTTGACCCGAGTTGTAAATTTTTGACTCGGTTGAACCGTTTGACACGGTTTACTATAACCCGGTTCTAAACTCTAGTCAATATTAGCATATTAAGAAAGTTATTCAGAAGACCAAAAAGTATATTTCTAAAAGCTTGATACGAATTAACTTTTATTAAATAATATGTTTTATATTTTGTCTTACAAAATATTGAGAACCAGGTTTTAAATTAGGTTCTAAACCAAGCCATATTTAACATGGGTTTGGAACTTGTTATATGAAAACCTGGTTCTTAGGTTTTTAATTTGAACCTAAAGGTTTTAGGACCTAAACCAACTTTACCATCTCTATTTTGGTGTAGGAGACATATTAATAAATTCACTCAGTGAGAATGCCGAGTTTGGCGTCGATAAATCCATTGCCGAACGAATTTGATGTGGTGGGGTTCTCGGAGGATCAAGGTCAGTAGTTGTTAAAGGAACCCTTGCCGAAGATGAAGTAAGAGAGGCGAGTGTGGGAACATTTGACGATAATCTTGAAGGTGTATGTGGTGGAGAAGATGCCAAAGGAGATGATGGCAAATTCGGCAAATGAGAAAGTATTGCATTAGGAAAATTAGAATCAACAGCTGCCCAATCATCTAATGCAGCTCGGAAAATGGTGCCGGGGGACATCGCTAATGTTTGGGTAGATTCGGCAGTGCTATCCTTTGGTGTTCTTTCGTCGTCATCGTCTTCATAAGTACTTGCAGCCAGAAGTTCATCAAGAAATGTATCAGGCGACATGGAAGTTGCAAGTGTTGATTCTGCTCCGGCATTGTCTTTCTGTGTAACGCTTGAAGTTGCCCAAAGTTCATTGAATAATTGTCCTGGAGACATGGACGTCGAAGCTGTCTTTTGTGGAGCAACTGTGCTTGCAGTTGCCCAAAGTTCATGAAATAAAGTATTTGGTGACACTGTAGCTTTTTGTGAAGCTAAAGAATTTTCGCTAATGGTTTGCTTTGAGTTCATAGTATGCAAACTACTTTCTGTAGCACCAAAAAAGTCCTCCATATCAACATCTTCATTTATTGAATGTACAGTCGGTTTTGGACGTTTGTTCTTTCCTTTTCTGGTATTCATGGTAATCGATTTTCTCTTTTTTGTTTTCTTTTTTTTAGTATTTTCCTCCAAAGCCTTTAAAATAACTTCTGAAACCACCGGATTTCGGGTTATCACGTGACTATCTGCGTGACTTGGTTCGGGGATCTTGGAGGTGAGTGGGATCAAAACAGGGGGCTGATGAAATAATCCTTTGTGCCTCGAAGATTGGTCTCGTGATTTTTTAGATTTACTAGTGGTTAATTTGCTTGGTTCAATAGATCTTAATGATCCTGTCTCCAAAAAAGATTGTCCCAAATCTTGTGCACAGAAATTATTTGATCCAATAAATTGCGAATTTGATAGTAAAGATGACATCGGATCTTGGTTAATGCATAGATCTTGCGATGCCATTTCTAGTGAATCTAAATATTCATATATTGCGGCAGCTTTCGATCCAGAAAGTCTGGATGAGCCGGATAATCGAAAAGAGTCTTGCATACGCTGGTGAGGAAGTGCATCGTCTGCAATATCAAATTTAGTATCCATTGCCGTTGATTTTGGTGACGTGTTTGTAACCTTAGCTTTATTTCCTGGTCCATTACTGTATTCCATATATTGTGGAGCCACTGGTAATTCATATTCACGAGTTGGTAAGCCACTTTTAATCCTTCCTAATATCTTCGGAACGGGAATCGCATTTATGCGCATTTTTTCTTCAAACAAAATTTCACAAGTCGCGACATCGTATTTCTCCCATCCATTTTTGATTTTAAATGTTGCATACTCTAAGCCAAGTCGTATTCGTTTTGCGACCTGATTTTATGATCAATCTGTTAATTATCTAGATTTGTTATCCTAAATCAAATGATACTTTGTTTTTCTATTAACCATAACTTGAAATAAGCGAATGTTTCATCAATTCTTTGCTTTGATGAACTTCTACGTGGTTGAAAATTGCGTATTTACCTCTACAATATCGATATCTTTTCGCGTATATTCGCCAAGCGGATCATTTTTAAGCTGTTCGATAAGTGCTTCTAGGTCTTTATCCTCATTAATTTCTTTGTCGGCTATTTTCGAAAAGTCCTGCTTTCAAACATTTTATAATCACTGTTTACTATGATAAATAGGCTACCCATTTTTTCTCGAAAAAAAATATTTTACGTGCCCTACCTCTAACATGGTTAAATCTAAGTGTTAATAGATTGCTGCAAGGTATTATTTAAACTCACACAATAATATTGAACACCTTAGGAGAAATTTGATTTACGACAACTTAAGCGCGTCTTCTCGAAATAAAGGATAGATTCTACTTATAAATAAATCGAAAATTATGCCCGTATAAATGGTAGGACATTGGTAGGACGAAATAAAGATAATGGGAACATACGGTGTAACTGGTAATCACCAAAACAGAAACATAACACGCGTTATGCTCACTACAGCAATCTGCATAGTGCAGACCATGAGTTTCTTTACCATACTGTTTAACATTAATTACGATAATCTTTTTTTGTTAAAAGCAACGATTTTTTTTTTTGCACGAATTATACGAATTATTCAATTTTTTTACTATTATTTTGATTCAATTTTATAATTCAATTACACTACTAGATTGTAATGTTATATTATGTATTCAGGATAATACTGTAATAAAATTTAAAATATATATTATAAAACATCGTTTTTGGTCGGTGAAGTTATCAAAGGAATAAAATTATAATGATAAGCCAATTGCCGATTATCTGGTTTTTACCTGTTAAGTTAAGCAAATGATTTGCTATCCAATATGTCAAATTGTCTAATTAAATTATTTCGTTGTCTTTATAAAGTATTTTTTTATTTTGAACTAAAACATTTGTGCTGGTGGCTTATATATTTTTATTTTCAAATCAACTTGTTTTTTTTTTTAAATATAAACTAGCTTATAGATCATCTTCTAGTACCCACGTATTATAAAAATAAAATTTCAGTATTTTTTTCTAGTATCATATATTATTAAATCTATTTAAATCTTATTTCTATTATGGTAACTAATATTAAATTAATTCTAGTTATAATTTATATATTTATAATAAAAATAAAATTATAAAAAAATTTTTAGATTAGAATATAACAAAATTTTAATTGTTTAAACAAAAATTGATTAATTGTATTAAAAATTTTATTAATCTATTTATTAAGTAAAAAAATATTATAGTAGCTACTTATTTTGCTATAGATTAAATTTGCTAGTATTGCTTAAGATTATTTTATAAAAATATATACAATAATACAAATCAAATATACTTTTTTTTTTTTTTAAAATAAAGTTTTGTATTAATATTTTTTATTAAAGATTCACTAGTAACTAAAAATAATAGTTAATTTTTGCTAAAATTAAACTAGCTAATTTATAGTAATACCCTTACTGTCTAGTCTAAAATATTAATAGATATCTATAATATATTTTAATTTGATATTTTTTTTAGCTTTTGATTATACTACTTTATACAAATCACAAAAATATATACTATATATATATATATATATTTGTTTTAAAGTGAGGCTTTGCTTATATCTTTATTAGTAATAATTTTTAATAGTAACAATATAGATTATTACAATGCAGTCACTGAGGCTTTTACTTGTAGTCAGAGCTAACCATTAAATCACTATATATAGAAATTTACAAAGTTACTACTATTTGTATCAGTATAAATAAAAATAAAAATTACATGCAAGAATAAGAGCTCAGACAAAGAGAGATTTATC